GCCCAATGCAGGGCTTGATCCCATGAACCATGAGATCATGACCTGAGCCAAAATCAAGAGTCAAACGCTTAACCGACTGAGCCACCCAGGCATCCCCTGGCTATCAAACATTTTAATTTGAGCCACCTGTAAAATCAAAAATTATTTTTAAGGAGTTGGGGGGAGGGGTAGTTTCCTTTTTCACTGAAAAATTCCTATGTGTGATAAATTTTCTCATAGCACAAAAAAGTCTCTTGACCCACTCTAGCCCTCCAAGCAAGTTAAGAGTGTTCATAATCTCTAAAACACCTCTCTGCACATCTAAACATGTCAACAAGTGTACACCACCCTTCCCTGTTAAAAAAAAAAAATACACACTATGGAGGGGTGCCTGGCTGGCTCGGTCAGTAGAGCATGCAACTCTTAATCTCAGGGTCATGAGTTCACGCCCCATATTAGGCACAGAGCTCACAAATAACTAAATACTGTATGCGATTTACAACAGCGTTTAAAAAAAAAAAAAACCACACTATGGAAGCATCATATCACACTTTGCTTATCCACTTAATCTACCTTGCAGATAAATTCACTTCAGTGATACAGTGAACTAACTCAATTCTCTTTTCACAGCTCTACTTCATTCCATCCTAAAGAGCAACTATGATTTAGCCAGTCCCTTATTAAGGAAGTCTACTTGGTTCCTGTTTTCTACAGTTACAAATGCTGTAGGAATATTCCAGAACAAATTTATCTTTGTACGTATGGGAAGTATTACCAGTGAGATATAATCTTAGAACTGGCCATCCTGGGATGTGCTTTCACATCTTCAGATGTTGAATTACCCACGAGGTGTATTATCAGGATTACTTAATTCTTCATCTCTTCAGTTCTGAATGAGGGAGAGCACCTACCACAGGATTAGATGCCCGCTAGGAAATGTCCTTTTCCATTCTTTACCCATTTTCTATTGAGCCACTAATACCATTCTAGTCAATTACGATGAATTTTACATAGAACTAGCTTGTTGTCATCCACACTGCAAACATTCTATCCCAGCTTATTCTCATTGTATGTAAGGCAATTTTTTTTAGTAACCTCTACAACCAACGTGGGGCTAAAACTCATGACTCAGATCAGCAGTCACATGCTCTTCCAAGAGAGCAGGCCAGGCACCCCACATATGGGTATTTTTGATACACTAAATTTTTACGTTTTTACACAAATGCACACATCTTTCTCTTATAGCTTCTAGACTTTATAGCACCGAGATGACAAAACAAAATCCATTTTGGGGGGATCCACCTGGGATGTACTGGTTGGTACATAGTTTACTGTTTGTTAAAAACAAATCCAGTTTCTCCATACTGGCGGAACACACCTCCTTCAAAATACACTACATGACTACGTGTTTCAGCCTGTTTCCAGTTCTTCTACTAATCTATTTCGTAGTTGTAAATTCATCAGGTCATTTAAAAAAATGCATGGACATTCTGATCTAGCAGAAATGCTGAGACTTATGATCCAGAAAACATTGCTGAAACTGAAATTTCAAACAGACACTGGTGTACATACCAGTTTCTGAAACCTGACATCCCAAGATAATGGCCTCTTCACATAAGCATTTGCAGTTTACTGAAGAATGAAACTCACAATACAGAAAAATTCCCTTTCTGAGCCTCTTCTGTTAGGTGAGCTGTTGCTAAAGGCATTTTTATTTTTAGTTAATTCCAAGATTCAACACTGAGAACACGCTGTGGCTAAAGAATGAATCCGAAAAAGAATTGTTAATTTTCATCACTTTAAAAAGCTACTGGATTAAATAGAATTTACTCAAGTTATAATACATCCTTCAAAATGGCCTTTGGTGAGGAGGAAATGCCTTTCCTTGGGTTTTGTTTTTCCCTGACTCCCTCACACCAAGTTCTGTCCCTTCCCAGTCTTCACTCAGAAACCATTCTGAATGGCATCAACGCCACCCCACCCTTTAGTTATTTAGAGACAGACAGTGTATGAGTGGGACAGGGGCAAAGACAAAGGGAGGCGCCAGTGCAAAGCCCAAAGCAGGGCTCGAACTCACAAAACTGTGAGATCATGACCCGAGCCGAAACCAAGAGTTGGCTGCTCAACCGACTGAGCCCCTCAGAGGCCCCTACATCAAACCCCTTCACTGACCTCTAGTCATACTAGCGATGGATGATTAGAGAGAAGAAAAAACTTAAATAGAGTGACTCTAAATCCTGCATTCTCAATGGAGAAAGGGGTGAAAACGGCTTAAAGGATGAAAAAAAATCTTAGATATCACAATGGTTTGTGGCCTGGAAATGACGACAGCACATAAGCTAATACGCAGGGTATCTATGGTAACAAAATTTCATGGAGGGGCAAGGGACAGACAAATTAGGAATAAAGGTCTAAAAGGGCTCCTTTGGGAGGCAACATTTTTTTTTCAAGTTGCGAAGTTCCATTTTATTACCACTAAATTGCAAAAATTTAACACTAAAGGGGTATAAACTGGTATCATGGCTTCATCAACAACAGAGTAACAATAAAAACAACATACAGAAAAAGGATATTACAGAACTATCCTGCAAGGATCAACACATGCATCCCCTACAAGCCAGCAATTTCCTTCCTCAGAATAGACCCTAGATAAATCCTAATACGTGTGCACCAAAAAGATATTCAAGAACATTCATAATACTGTTTGTAACAGCAAAAAAAACCTAGAATCAACCTGTCTGTGAATAATGAATGGAGTTTGGGGAATAGTCAAGCAGCAATGAAAATAAACCATATCCAACAAAATGGGTAAAAAGGGACATACTGAATGAAAAAATAAGATTACCAAGTATATATATTATGAAACAATTTTTCTAAAGCTTAAAAACAGGCAAAAATATAATGTTCAAAGAATCATAATAATACGTAATAAAAAACACCTTGAAAAGGAAAGGATACGTATGAAACGCACAACAGTGTCGGGGTGGCAGACATACAGGTAGAGACCAAATGATACTGGCCATGTTCTAACTCTAAGGGAGAGTGGTGGCATAGTAAGTATCTCTTCGATTATTTTGCTTCATAACTTACAAATCTCACGTTATTCTCATTAGTTGATATTTGGCTCTTCACAGTAGGGATGAATTAACACCAAAAAAAACTTACATCTAGTTCAAAAAACAGGTCCCTTTCTTTACTTGCAATCTCATAGTCTGCTCGGAGGGCCAAGTCGTGGATTTTGGTACATTCTCCTAAATCCATGCGCTGTAAGAAAGAAACAAAAATTTACACATGAGCATCTACTCATTGTAGAAAGCACATGACCTGGTGTTTCAACTGTCACCAAAACAAACAATACCTCTTTGAATACTAAACTAGAATAAATAAATTAAGAAACCATACGTAGCCAAGAAGCCTTACTTTTCTTTCACCACGATTATGTGACACTTGTATGCATTTAAGTGTGAAGGTTTGTATCTCTTTCAAAGCCAGAAACAGAGTAACAATGAAAACCACATTAATTAGCTTTTGCTAGTTTTATTTTTGCATCAGTCATAGAAGAAACGTCTATTCAGTGAATATCAGCATGGGGGAGGGGAAGGTGGCAAGGAAAAGGCCAGAAAACAAGATGCCATCAATACAAATTTCTAGGCATTCCTTCCTATAATCCTCATTACTCAAGATGATCAATGCTTCGGGTGCAGAGATAAGGAAAAGGAAAGAGCAGATAGCAATCAGGTTTTGGCAATTCTAACAGAACCTAACGCTTAGTTTTGTGTAGCTCTTTGTATACCAGAAGGCATAAAGCAGAATAGGCCAATTCAGAGCCAAAAGAATCCTCCAAACATTCTCCTAACCTAGTAAATGACCCTTGACATAACTGGGGACATAGATTGCGCCACAAAAGGCTCTTTTACTAAAACAAATGATTTGTGTTACCGGTAACATTAGCCTGACGTGACATGCTATCATGTGTTGTACACATATGTAAAACAAACAACAGGGCACACTCCTTAACTAAATTCGGAGTGTGGGACTCTGTGATGGCACCCTCCACCTCTGGCCATCACAAGAGCACAAGGAAAGTTTGTATGCTGAGGATCATGCTATCAAGTCAGACAGGGCAAGTTAACAAAAGCCAATACCACAATGAGAAGACATCTCTGAAATCCAAGCACTTGGGACAAAAGCACAGGTATACATAACTTGCAAACAAAGAATGATGGGAGTCCAGGACCTCCTGTAAGCTCAAACTACAACTATGTCCAAAATGAGTTCAAAACCTTCGTGGATTATAAAGTCCTTAACATCTTAGGCAAATTAGGGAGTCTCGCGGTACCTAACTCTTAAACCGCAGTCTCACAGAAGGTGCGTGCCATGCTCACTAACGAAACGTCCTTTAGAATCACCAGTGAGAACCAACAGTGGGCTCCCTGGTGTAGAGCTTATCTTCAATTGATCTTCATTTTGATCATCTTCTGCATTTAAATGCTGATGACCTTTTTTCTCCTTAATTGTTATTATCGTGAAGTCATATGTAGCTCACGTATGTTGGTTCACAGGGGCATCTAGAGGCAGGGCAATAGTAGTTCTAGAAGCCAAAGTTGCAAATAGAATCGCTGTCCCTGTACTGCAGACAACTTTTGCTTCATTCACTCTTACGTATCAATACAATTTTTTAAAATATAGTCTCCACAAGAGAAAGGTAAGCACTATAGCCGCAAAATAACTGGCAAACACCAGGAATACTTAAAAGCTAATGCAAGTTCTGTATCTCAAAGAAAACCTACCATCAGAGGAAACACTAAAACCTGAAGTACTAAGCCTTCAGTACATGTAATGTAATATAATTTCAGGAATAGAATTTACCCATTCTACTTATGTAGAACACCCAGTGCTCATCCCAATAAGTGCCCTCCTTAATGCACATTGGCCATTTCGCCCATCCCCCCAACCAACACCCCAGGCAGCAACCCAGTTTGTTCTCTGTATTTAAGAGTCTCTTATGGTTTGTCTCCCTCTCTGTTTTAATCTTTTTAAAAAAATTTTTTAATGTTTATTTATTTTTGAGAGAGAGAGAGAGAGACACAGAGTGTGAGCAAGGGAAGGGCACAGAGAGAGAGGGAGACACAGAATCCGAAGCAGGCTCCAAAGAAGAATCCGAAGCTGTCAGCACAGAGCCCGATGCCAGGCTCGAACCCACGAGCTCTGAGATCATGACCAGAGCCGAAGTCAAACACCCAACCGACTGAGCCACCCAGGCGCCCCCTCTCTGTTTTTATCTTATTTTTGTTTCCCCTCTCCTATGTTCATCTGTTTTCTTTCTTCAATTACACATAGGAACGAAACCATACAGTATTTGTCTCTGACTTATTTTGCTTAGCATAATACACTTTGGTTCCATCCACATTGTTGCAAATGGCAAGATCTCATTCTTTTTGATCATCCGATGACATTCCATTGTATGTATACCACAGCTTCCTTATCCATTCATCAGTAGATGGACGCTTCGGCTCTTTCCATATTTTGGCTATCGTCATTAGTGCCGCTATAAACATTGGGGTGCATGTGCCCCTTCGAATAAGCATTTTTGTATCCTTTGGATAAATACCTAGCAGTGCAATTGCTGGGTCATAGGATTAAGTACTAAGCATCTTAAGTACAAATCAACCTCCATTCTAAAAATTTAAATTGTCACGGGATGCCTGGGTGGCTCAGTTGGTTAAGCCTCTGACTTCCGCTCAGATCACAATCTCATGGTTCATGAGTTCGAACCCCGCAATGGGCTCTGCATGAACAGTGCAGAGCCTACTTGGGATTCTCTCTTTCTTTCTCTCTCTCTCAAAAGATAAAAAATAATTTAAGAAAACAAAAATTTTAATCGTCAGGAAAATTTTGACATTTGTGAACCACGCAGGAAGCAATTCACTGCTGTCTTCCTTTGGGTGAGAACTCTCAGGCAGCCACTGCTAATGCAAGCAGTGGACAGGGCTGGGTTCCATGGTTACTCCCTGTCTATATATTTTCAGCTTTGCCAAGGAGGGAACAAAGTACTGGCTAATTTCCCTGGCAGCTGAACACCAAGCAGAGCTGCAATGTCACATTAGGCCCTTCCAGAAGATTTCAAATGGCTGTTAAATCCAGCTTGTCAGATGTTTTTTACTGAACAAATATCTGTGTTCGCTACCTCCTAGTGGTCTCACACTGGGCAGGGAACTAAACACACAGGGCAGGGAACTAAAGGCTCTTTCCAGAACATGTGGAAAACAAGTTCTTCCACTGAGGCAAGTTACACTACCTTCCCTCCAGTTATCTTACTCTCCCAAACTTAACAACCAATACTGTAATTTCCCATTAAGCTGTTTTTTTCAAGTTTATTTATTTATTTTGAGGTGCCTGGGTGGCTCAGTCAATTAAGCATCAACTCTTGGTTTTCACTCAGGTCATAATCTCACGGTTTCATGGGGTCGAGCCCTGCATTGGGCTCTGCGCTGGTGGCATGGAGCCTGCTTGGGATTCTCCCTCTCCCTCTCTGCCCCTCCCCCATTTGCACTGTCTCAACCTCTCTCAAAATAAATAAACTTAAAAACTGGAGGGATTGCTCTTGCTGCTTGGGATTGGAACAGAGGGAGAGGGGAAAATTTATTTATTTTGAGAAAGAGAGCACGAGCAAGCACACACACACACTAGAGGGAGAGAGGGAAAAAGAGAATCCCAAGCAGGCTCCATACTGTCAGCACCGAGCCTGATGCGGGGTTTGAACTCATGAACTGTGAGATCATGACCTGAGCTGAGATCGAGTCAGACACTTAACTGATTGAGCCACCCAAGGGCCCAAAAGCCTTAACAAAACTGTAACATCCATTCCACCTTGCCTCAGGCCTACTAATGACAGGAGATGGTTCTGAGCAACAACTTGGGCCTGGAGCAGCCCATGGAAGACTGAAGGTTATAACCACCTTCATTCAGCCACTCTAATTTTTTTTTTTACATGTTTTATTTTTAAAAAAATTTTTTTTTTCAACGTTTATTTATTTTTGGGACAGAGAGAGACAGAGCATGAACGGGGGAGGGGCAGAGAGAGAGGGAGACACAGAATCGGAAACAGGCTCCAGGCTCTGAGCCATCAGCCCAGAGCCTGACGCGGGGCTTGAACTCCCGGACCGCGAGATCGTGACCTGGCTGAAGTCGGACGCTTAACCGACTGCGCCACCCAGGTGCCCCTTACATGTTTTATTTTTGAGAGGGAGAGGATATGAGCGGAGAAGGGGCAAAGAGACAGAATCCCAAGCAGGCTTGGGAACTGTGAGATCAAGACCTGAACCGGAGTCGGATGCTTAACTGACTGAGCCACCCAGGCACCTGTAGCCACTGTATTTTAAATAATCACATTCATTCCATTATAATTTGACACAAAACACAAACTCCTCAGAAGACCCATCATTCACCTCTACCCCTCACTTTCCACTCCGATACAGTCCACACCAGTGAGGCCCAACCTTTACAACCACTTTCATCCGATTTTCCAACCCTCATCCTAGTCGTCCCTCGGCAGCCCCTGACATTTGTTTGTTCGCATTTTCACAGTACCATGGATTCTCCTGGGTTTTCTCCTCCTCCTCGGTCTGCTGCTTCTTAGACTCCCCTTGCAGAGCCGCCCTTGGCCAACTCCACCCAGGAGTGACCCTGCTCATTCCATGCCTTCTCATAACTCATCTGATTCGACAGTCTCTGCCTGCCTCTCCCCCTCACTCCCACCTCAGACACACCAGCACCATGCCCACTGTCCTTCAGTTCCAACTTCCACCCAGAGCATCATAACCCCCAACTGTGCAGGTGTTCCTTCTCACCATTCAATGTCCTGAGAAGCCTTTCTTATCACTCTACCCAAAACCGTCCATTATCCATTTAATGTCTGTCCTCTTCCTCCACTGGAATAAAGACTCTGTCTTATTGGTACCATTTCCCCAGTGCCTGGCACACAGCTGGTGTCCAATAAATACCTGGTGAGTTAATCTGTATCTACCACAATAAACACTTGTAAGAAACGCACTCATTCTCACTATTTTTCTCACTGGCATTCAGGAACAATGCTACCCAGGGATCTGACCTCCCTGCTCGAAGTACTGAAATGCGTTACTCATGCACATCCATCCCCCTCTGCTCCTTCTGGCTTCTCCCACTAAGATCAGTCAACAACTCCAGGTTGTGATGCCCCCCCCCCCCCCCCCCCCCCCCCCCCCCCCCCCCCCGCCTGCCCAACAGGATTTTCCTTCAGCTGAACTACTTTTAACTACTGGAAACCATTAATCTACACCGACGGTACCCAAAACAATTAGCAGAAAAAGGTATCTCTACCCAGGTCAAACTACAGGTAAAACCTCAGGTAACAAAAGCACAGGGTTTGACATTCATTTCTTCTCTGTTCTCTGAAGAGTGAGCTTGAGAATTTAATACATGAGTGGTTTTCCACAGGCTGCTCCCCCCACAAGTGTAATAACAAAAGTAATCATGAAGAAAATGTTCCCTAGTGGATGCACATTTGACCCTTAAAATGAAAAAACAATATAAAATGAGTACAGTTTTTATATTCCATAAAGTAGCTATGCAATCTAAAAATGGTGGTCGTCGGGGCGCCTGGGTGGCTCAGTCGGTTAAGCATCTGACTTCAGCCCAGGTCATGACCTCACAGTCTGTGAGTTCAAGCCCTGCGTCGGGCTCCGCACTGACAGCTCGGGAGCCTGGAGCCTGCTTCCGATTCTGTGTCTCCCTCTCTCCCCGCCCCTCCCATGCTCACACTCTGTCTCTGTCTCTCTCTCTCAAAAATAAACATTAAAAAAAAATTGAAAAAAAATAATAGTAATAAAAAAAATAAATAAAAAATAAAAATGGTGGTCATCTTTATCGGACTCCTTTTCTGTAAGTAGCTGAATCACGGCAGGTAATTCTCCACTCTTTAGTCTTTTTCGATCCTATCTGACTCTGAAGAAACATACATTCCGTAACACTAACATTTATTTGTTTGGGTTTCTCAAGTGAACATAAAACTTTAGGGTTTATATTCACTGGAGCATGTGCTGATTTCTTGAGAGGGTAGCATAACACAAGCCTAAAACTCATATTCAAACAAAACGCTAAAACCTCAGTGTTAAACCCAACTGATTTTTTAAAAATCTAAAAATTTGGGGGGTACCTGGGTGGCTCAGGGGGTTAAGTATCCTGCTCTTGATTTCAGCTCAGGTCATGATCTCAGTGGTTTGTGAGTTCAAGACCCACGTTGGGCTCTTTGCTGACATCACAGAGCCTGCTTGGGATTCTGTCTCTCTCCCTCTCTCTCTCTGCCCCTCCCCCACTTGCTATCTCTCAAAAAAAACAAAAAAAACAAAAAAACAAACAAACAAAAAAACCACACACACACACACACCTAAAAACTTGGGAAAGAAATGTACCTTGTTGTACCAAAAATTTGCCAGATGTCTGATGTGAAAACAAACCAACCCAGAATTTTCAAAGTATAGGCTGACCTGAAGCATACTTTCAGGTTTGGCCAAATGACACTAGTCACAGTACTTAGTTATGAATATCTCCATATAAACGATTCTATGAAAATCTGCTTACAAAATGAACTTTATAGCAATAACATATGTCTCATAACATCAAATGTCACCAAACTAATGCCACGAGTCTATCATTTGAAGGACAATAGATGATTTCTGCCTGGTAAAGGAAAAGAGAATTCAAGCTGGAAGCCCTTCACTGCCTGCACAGCCCTCATCTGAGTGTTTGATGATATTCTCCCAAACCCAAATACACCTACCGTCCCAGCCAGGATATCATGGGGGCAGCAGTCCAGAAGGTGACTCTTGCAGACACGGTCATCTGTAAACTTGACCCTCTGTCTGGTTTCGTCTCCTGAAATTCATTTGTGGTTTTAAATAAGACAATATTATCACGTTAAACACAAAAGCATATCTGGTACAACAATTCACCTGGATGATTGGCAGACTACCAAATACAATGAAAAGCTGATCTAGAGATAATTTACAACTGGAGCGGAATACAGATGTTTTTTGATGCTGAATGTATCATGAAGAATCACACTTAATGAGATCTGACTCCATCATTGTGCCAAAGAAGTCAAGGAATCTGAAGTAAGAGACTGAGCACCAAAAGGCCATTAACCCCGCACATACATGTGGGGAATGATACCAAAACCCATGCTACTCAGAGGGCCATGAATCACCACATATGACTTATAGCTGGTAGTTTCTCCACCAACAGAAGCTACATATTAGTCTTATCGTTTTGCTATGGACAAATGCATAGGCAGTATTTTGCCCAAAGTCACATGAAGGAGAAAGCTTTCAAACTCTACCACTGACTGATAAATAACCTAGACCTAGTCTTCCTATGCCCCGTCACCCCCACCCTTAAAAAAGAGAGTTGGCACCTGGGAGTCACTTTTAACAAGACAATACCGGAAAAAAAAAAAAAAAAAAAAAAAAGGAACTAGGTTAGTCAATACACACTGTGAGTTCCAACACATACTGTACCCATCTGCATTCTTCAAGACCTCAGCTGCAGAATTTTATGCCCGCTGTTGAAAAGTTTTAAAGGAAAAGTTTTCTTGCCCAACCTGCAGTAAGGAAGTCAGGGGAATGATACATAAAAGTAAAGGCAAAGTGGAATGTGACAAATTTTAAAGCTAATCTGTGTATCCACAGAGCTGTGTAATACTAAAGGAGGAATATATTTTAGGATTTGCAAGCATCCAGGATTAATGTTGTGTCTTTTTATTGAAAATGTTTTCTTTCTAAACTACACTTTTAAAGTTATTTGTGAAAAAAAGCAAACACTTTTTTGTTATAACAGCTTAGAAATTGGTTGTGACTCACGGCTCGATGAACATGAGGCTTTTCTGCAACTCCCTTGCAGATTGATGTAGGCAGGCAAAGATACACTGAACCTTTATAAATAAAATAGAGGGGCCACAATTGTTCAGTTTGTATGAAATAAAAATATGGGAAGCAATTCAAAAGCAACTCAATATACAAAGAAAGCTAAAAGAGCACTTATTCACCTATGAAATAAAGTGCAAAGAATCTGCACAGCCCTGCGAATGTGTCCATGTGAACTTACAACTTCATTACTTCAGTAGAAAAGAAAACACAAACCACAGCAGGTATACACCTTTGCGAGGTGCCACCGCTTTCTCCTGAAGACAACCATCATGATCTTTCACTCCTCCCTACGACAATCATTGCAAGACCTACCTAACGACTGCCAAGCGCTGGCTAAACAGAGGCTCTCCTGTGTGACTAGGGGGAAAGGGGGCTGGAAAAGCACTCGGCAGGAACCCACGTTAGAAAAGCTCAATTCACAGCTCCCCTTGGTACAGAAGAGGAACGGCGGGGGTTTCAAGGCCCATCCGGCTCGCTCGGGTGTATGTAGCTTCTTCCCCGAGGAGCCTCGGAGGAGCTCCACCACCCGGCTGTCAGCGACCTGGAGCCCACGCTGGCGCCAGCCCTCCGCCGACTCCCCGGTTCGCGGCGCGGGGCCGCGGGAGCGGGAAGGAGTCGCGCGGCGCCGGCCAGGGAGAAAGTCGCAACCGCAAATGGGGAAGGGACCCATCGCCAGCAAGGGAGGGCCCGGCCGTGGCCGCCTCCAAGGCAAACCGGCTCAGACAAAGGCCCGGCGCCGGCGGTCGGCGCGCGGGGGAGGGAAGGGCGCCCGGCGCAGGCGCAGACGGTCGCGGCCCCCGCCTCAGGCCGCCCGGCGGCCTCGCCTCACTCCTGCCCAGCCCCTCGCCAGGCCTGTCGCCCGGACTCACCGTCCCGGGCCGTGCCCATAAGCTGGTCCAGCAGGGCCCGCATCTGCGCCTGGGCGGACATGATGGCCGGCGAGGGCGGCAGGGATGGCCGCGACGACTCCTCTCAGCGCACGGGCAACGGCGGCGGCAGCGGCGACGAACGCTGGTCGCGTCGGCCTCGAGCCCACTTAGCTCCTTCCCGCCGCGGGGGACGCCGGGAGGAAGTGCGTCAGTGCCGGTGTTGAGCCTGCTGGGAAATGTAGTTTCTAAGGCGGGATAGGGAAGGAAACTCCGCCCTGTAAGAGACAGGTGGGAGGGGTCCAAACAAGTTGCCCAAAAGGGGAAGCCAAAAAAGTCCCCACCCTGATTTTATTCTAGGGCCCAAGACCTATATGTTCTACTGGGACTAAACTGCAATAAAATAATGTGAATATGGACAATACAAAACGAAAAAATAAATCTTATGTGTTTTCTTGCTGGCGATGAAACCCTTTTACTCCCAGACTCCAGTTTTTCTCTACTGTGAAATGGGGATTCTAATGGTGCCTGTCCTATGACTTGTGAGAGTTAAGTCAAGCCTGGTATTAATGTTAGATTCTGTGGTTACAATTTTATGGCAGTCTATCTGTGAGGTCAGTCGGCCATCCACCAAGGCTATTCTATTCTAGCTCCAGCCACACCAGAGATTGGCCATGAGGTACTATTCCTTGAGTAGAACAGCCAGTCACATGAAGGTAGGTTGATTACATTGGATCCTTTTTACTCTAGGCGGACAGTGATTCATCCCTATGGAACTGTCAACTTACACAGATACGTGTTTGTTTTTCCAGACAACAGTGCCTCTACACTGGCACACACATCCAAAAGCTTGCAGAATGCCTGATTCATTGACATGGGATCCTGCACAACACTGCCTCATATCAAGAAACATGTTTCATGGTAAAGCAGATCAGGTATTTATTTCTGTATAGCAAGCCACTTAAAAAACTTAGTGGTGTAAAAGAGATGATTTATTATTTCTCATCATTCTGTGGAATTCAGGCAGGGCTTAGCTGGGCCTAGGCTCTACTACTCTAGGTGGTGTTGGCCAAATTCACAAAATTGCTTGTATGGAACTGGGCTAAGGTCCAAAGCTTCATTGATATGTCTGGTTCCTCTGTAATGCTCCACATGGCCTCTCTCTCTGTACAGAGATCACGTCACTCAAAAGTCTAGCACAAGCTGCTTTATAGTATGGCAGATGGCAAACAAAAAAGTGAACATGTAAAAATTGAAAAAACACTGCCTGTATAAAATGATAATAATAATATTAGTTTGTGGGATTTAGCAAAAGAGTAATAGGGGCGTCTGGCTGGCTCAGTCAGTGGAGCATGCAACTCTTGAACTTGCAGTTATGAATTCGAGCCCCACATCAGTGTAGGGATTACTTAAAAATAAAACCTTGGGGTGCCTGCATGGCTCAGCCCAGTAAGTGTCCCAACGCTTGATTTCAGCTTGGGTCGTGATCCAAGGGTCCTGGGATCGAGTCCCATGTCAGGCTCTGGGCTGAGCAGGAGCTTGCTTACGATTCTCTTTCGGGGCACCTGGGTGGCTCAGGTGGTTAGGCCTCCATCTCTTGATTTCAGCTCATGTCATGACCTCACGGTTTGTGAGTTCAAGCCTCGTGCTGGTCTCTGTACTGGCAGCATGGAGCCTGCTTGAGATTCTCCCTCTTTCTCTGTCCCTCCCCCACTCACACTCTCTCTGTCTCTCCCAAAATATATACACTTAAAAAAAAAAAAAGATTCTTTCTCTAAAAAAATAAAAATAACTAAATCTTTAAAAATAAATAAACTATTTAAAAAATGTTTTAATGTTTATTTTTGAGAGGGAGAGAAGAGAGAGCGCAAGCAGGGGAGGGGCAAAGAGAGAAGCAGACACAGAATCTGAAGCAGGCTCCAGGCTCTGA